GCCCGAAATGTCAGCCTTCCTGCTCCTCTGATGCTGCTTGGCCTGCTGTGTTCATCCAGCTCTACACCTTGTTATCTCAGATTCTCCAGCATCTGCAGTTCCTACTACCCCAAACTATTCTAATCCTATTTTCCAGCACTACTTACAAAGTCTTGTATCCCTTCACATCACAAGCACACATCTAAATACTTATTAAGTGCTTCTACCACCCTTAAAGGCAGGGAGTTCCAGATTCCCACCAGCCTCTGGATGAAAAGGTTTTTCCTCACATCTTCTTTAAAACTCCTGCCCCTTATCATAAGTCTATGCCCCTGGTCACTGATGACCCCATCAAGATAAAAGTTTCTGCCTGTTTACCATTAATCTGTAGCTGGAAATGAAAACTCAATTTTAAAAGGTACAACAGACGTACATCAGTGGAAGTTCTCCTCAATTCAGTGATTCTGATTACTTTCTGGTGGGACCTCGAGCACAGCATCAAGGGAAAAGTTTCTTCCTGTTTGCCATTGATCTGTAGCTTGAAATGACAACTCCATTTTTAAAGTTACAATAGGCACATCTCTTCACAACTTGGAGAGTCAATAACGAGGGGTATAGACTTCCAGTAAGTGATAAACAGTTTAAAGGAGATGTGAGGAAAACCCTTTTCACCCACAGGGTGTTGGGAATCTGGAATTCACTGCCTGTAAGGGTAGTAAAGGCAGAAACCTTCATAACATTTAATAAGTAGTTAGATAGCCAGCTGTCTTGCATCTTTTCACAACTGAATCGAAAACTACATCAGTTAAGGCGTGAGACAGGTTTATATGCTAATGTTCTACTTTGGGCTATGATCCCGATCAGCCAATAGGTGGATAAGAAAGGACTTTTGTGTCACAGCGTCCCTACTTCTAGGCCAGACGGCCTTTGTTCAAGTCCCATCTGTTCCAGAGATGGATCATAACATGACTGAACAGGTTGCTTGAAAGTATCTTTCCTCTCAATTCCCAGCTGAAAACTGGTGCGCTTGAAGTCCCTCCAGAAGGTAATCAATCAAAATCACTGAATTGAGGAGAATTTCCACTTATAAGGTGTTAGCATTGGTGTAAAAACCATTGTAACATTTTGTTAAACGAGATGCCACTGGGTTTTTAAATTTTACAATTCATGCTGAACAGCCTCACTAGCAGTGAAAGAGTAATTTTATATTTGTGGGATGCCAAAATTCCACATTATAATTAAAAACACATTTTAATTTTTAAGTTTACAATATTTTAGTTTCCATCCTAAATCCATGAGGATATCTGAATAATTTTGACTGAGCAAAATAAATGAATTAAAAGTGAAGGATAATCAGTGAATTTTACTTCTTGGTTGACTGTGAGAATGCTTCAAGAGTTAGCATGATTGCTCAATGTAATCACTGCTGCTGAATGCCTGGTACCTCTTGACAGCTGTAAATTTAAGCTGACATCAGGTCAGGTGAAATTCACACCACAAGGATTGATGGATCTTGGTGTGTAGCTTTCTTGGAAGTTACCAGCAAGTGCCATTGCTCGATGAAATCCAGGCCATAAATACTGAGAAAATGTAAGGCTACTTACCAAAGAGCCTGTCTATCCAAGTGAAGAAAGCAGTTAGAGACATTGATTTTCTTAAAAAAAAATTCCAATGCAGTGAATTTATATTTATTTAGAAAGCTAAATAAAATATGCCCTTTCTCCATTATAAAAACAGAAAATGCTGGAGAAACTCAGCAGGCCTAGCAGCTTGTGTGGAGACAGAAACAAAGTTAACATTTCAAGTCCAATATTATTCTTCTTCAGAAGGGCCATCTTCAGTTCTGAAGAAGAGTCATTGCAGACTAGACACCTTAACTGTTTCTCTCTTCAAATATGTTATGAGGCCTACTGAGTTTCTTCAGTCTTTGGTGTTTTAATTTCAGTTTTCCAGCTTTTGCAGTGTTTTGCTTTTATAATGTATTTTCTCCACATATCCTTATACATGCTGCATCTTCTAATAACTATGTTGTACCATTTTGAATAATCAATTTAGCACTGATCATTTGTAGAGGAGTATTTCATTTTGCAATGATTCTTTGCACAAAAATGTTTCTTTCAAACATTCCTTCGTTAAACGTTCACCTTTGCAGCACAACATAATTTTTAGCTTAGTCTTTGATGGATATTTTTATCTAGTCTGTTCTTTATCATTTTGAATACCTCTGTCAAAGCTCCTTAAAATTTCTCCATTGGAAAGTGCACAAAAATGCAAGTTTTAGTTTTTTCTCATAACCTAGACCCTCATCCTTATAGCATCCTGGTAAATCTGTATTGGTGTTTTTCTCCAGAATTGGAATATTCCTATCATAGAGAAGAATCCAGTTCAGTGCATAATATATTGGTGCGGCTTCTCCATCATTCTCACAAGTCTTTTGTTTCTATCTTTGATTGTGTTGCATAATTATTTTTAGCCTTCATTTTCTGCTTAATCTGACAGTTCATTCACAGGACTAAATTTCTAAACACAGCCCTTTTCTCTTCATTGGAATATTGAGCGCGCTGCACCACTTGCACGCTGCAGGTGCTGCTGGGAGCTACTTGCATTCAGCTGGCAGGGGGGACACATCTACAGTCAGCAAAATGTCAACGTCTGGTAAAAATGACCATTAATTGACTTTTTTTCATACTTTAAATTCACTTTCCAGCTCCTTGAGTCTTCAGGCCTGTCATAAGGCTGGTCCCACTGTCAGTTAAATTCCCTGTTCATGGGACCACACCAGAAATCTGATTTGACTCCCTTTAATTTTCTAGAATTCCTGATCTTCCCTTCCAGGGGCCAATAATTTTATTCAGTTGGGTGATTTAAAATTAGCAATTTAATGTGCAACCTCCAGAGCTAATTTTAACCTCGGCAAACCAAGTGAACATAATGTAAAAGCTGCAGTTTATTATTAGCATGGCAACAAAGCATGTTGTTCCTCAACTAACATTTGTGAAAGGATTTCAAAGAAAGATTCGACTTACAGTGTCAGTTCATGCCTTATCTTCCTCCATTCCAAATTATTAATTGACCCAGCCGTTCATTGCTCACATTTACAAACAGAGCGTTGCTTCTCTTTTAATTCACAAGGTATACTAATCTTCTATTGTTTTACCAGGATTTTAGCGATTAAAAAAACTGGTCATCTGTTGGTCTTGACAGCTCAGTATCTCTGATGCAAATAAGCTGTTACAGCAGATAACTTCACACAAGTTAATATCCAACATGTGAATCTCATTTGCAAAACTATTTAAAAGTTGTTTCGAAACAATTCATCCTGATCAAAACTTTCTATGCTACAGAGTTTTGTTTATTCATGCAACAATTTTCAGCACAACATGTTCTTATTCTATTATTTGCAATCTGCACCCTAAGAAATCGAGCACAAACTGAGTTGAAACATTCATACTACAAAGGAACAGGCTTTCCATTAAGTTTGCATCAGCTGGATACGAAAAGTCATCAATATGGGTCACGAAGGATGAAAAATAATGGGGAAGCATGACAAGTAGTATTCGAGTGTACAATTGTGACGCCAAGGCACAAAAAGCAATGAGCCAAGTGCTGGAAAATAGGATTAGAATAGGTGGTTGTTTTAGAGTGGCACAGACTTGATGGGACGAAGAGCCTCTTTTCTGTGCTGTAGACTTCTATAACTCTATGACAAGTCAGCATTTCTTTCACAATCCTACATCTGAAGAAAGTGAAGTTTACTGCAGTTCAAAACTCCACAAATACCATGAAGCAGCCTCAGTGTTATTATATTTTTTCTCAGAACTGAAATTATCTTAAGAAACAAGTGAAGATTGGAAATTTTTAATCTTAGCAGAATTTTATTCACCATTTATTTGCTAAGAAGTATCAATATTTTCCTTTAGATGAAAGAAATTAAAATACTTGAAACTTTCTACAGGAAGGAAGTCATATTAAAAACATACTGAATATAAGAGAAGAATTAAACATATAACTCGTCCACGATTTAGAATGAGTAACAAGTCTTATATTTGTTTTGCTTATGGGCAAGTCTACAACAGTACCTGAACATTGAAGGTAAATGCCAACATCTAGGCTAGACTTTTCACATTTAATTAAGACATCTTCAAAGTACATTGGAAATAACATAAAAACTTTATTCTTCTGTTGGAAGGTCTTATAGTCTAGCATCACTGCGTGCCAACAGAAATCACTATTGCACAGTACCTCTGCCAGATCTTCAAAGCAGCTGCCAACAAATGGGTGAGGGTTACTTTCATCTGTCATCTCAACAGTATCCTCCATTAATCCAAGTAGCTTCACAGTCAATTCATGAATATCTAAGATGTTGCTGAAGATTATTTCAATGTCCTATCAGAAATCAGATAACACAGACTTAACATCACTTCCAAATTTAGCCTTTATATATAATAGATTTTGAAACAAAAACAACATGGATCGACTGCGAGATGATGAAGTGCAATTAGCTACATGGCTTTCCTTCTCAGGTCTTGACCTAGCCATTCTCAAAAGGTGGTCACATGAAGAGGAGGAGTGGTTAAGAAGTAGTTCCTATGATTTCTCTTTCATTGAAAAGGAAATTGGAAGAAATATCTGCTCAAAAAGGTGACAGTGGAATTTTCTGTCTGAAATTTTCAGCCTTTTCAATCTCTCCATAACCTTGCCCTTCACTTTCTCCATTACCTCCCCCAACTCTCCAAAATATCAGAATTCCTCTAATTCTGGCCTATTGAGAATCCCAACAGAAAACCCCATTCCTTAACCACAAATTCCCTCCTTCCTCTTGGCAACTATCCAAGGTTGAGTCAATCTTTTCATACACTTAGTGTCATATCTGAACCCAAGTTGAACTTTCAATGACACACTGCCACCATCACCAAGACTGTGTACTTCTACCTCTACCATATGACCCAGCTCTGTTCCTGCCTCAGCTGCCTATCTGCTACTGAACTTTTTGTTATCTCTGGACTTGACTATTCTAATGCAGACCTGGCTGGGCTATGGCTACCTTCCAATCTCAAAGTTATCCAAAACTCTTGCTTATGCCCCAACTCTCAACACCCTGGTCTCCATTATTCCTGTGTTCAGAACCAAAAATTTGTTCTCAATTCCTCCTTTTTAAAACTTTCATCCTTCTTTCCAGGTCCCTCCATAGGTTAATCCCTTCTCATTTCTGTAATATCTTCCATAACATTCAGCTCTTTGAGATTGTCTAATTCTGGCCTCTCGGGGGAAATTTAATACTGTCAGGACTTTGGTCTCTATTCTTTCTTGCCAAGGCTCTAAGCTCAGAATTACCCTTTCTCAAACTCTTTCCTCCTTTAACTCCTTAAAACAAGAGCGAATCTAACCATCACCCATTAAATTACATTATGGTCACTGAATCTTCCAATACCAATGTCATAGGGTTAGCACTGACAAGAAACTGAACCAAACAAGCCACATTGTGGCTACATGAGCAGGTCAGAGGCTAGGAATTCTGCAGGAAGTAACTTACTTCCTGATTCCCCAATGCATGTTTACCATCTACAAAGCACAAGTCAGGAGTGTGATGGAATACCATGCAATTGCCTAGAGGGGTGCATCTCCAGCAACAGTCAAGAAGCTCAACACAATCTAGGACAAAACAGCCAACTTAACTGGTACTCCATCCTGACGTTCAATATTGCCTCACTTTGCCACCGATGGCAACAACGTGTACCTTTCTCAAAGATGCACAGCAGGAACTCAGCAAGACTGCTCTTACAGCACATCCCAAACCCTGATCTCTAGCACCCAAAAGGACAAGGGCATCAGATGTTTGGAAACAGTACTACCTACAAATTCTCCAAGCTATATGCCAAACTGACTTGGAAGTATATCACCATTCATTCACTGTCAATGTGCCAAACTTGTGTAATTCAATCCTGAAACAGCACTGTGCATATATCTACACCCAAAACGTTACAGCAGTTCAAAAATGCACTACATCATCTTCAAGGCAAATTAGCGGTGGCCAATAAATACTTGCCTAGCGAATAATGCTGACATCCAATGAATAAAAAAAAAATGATCACATTTAAACTTTATGTGTGATGACTTAATTATAAAATATTAACATCATTTTCCCTACAGCTTTCTTGAAATTTTAGGTTTCATTGATTGGTTTTGCAAGAGAGGTGAGAAAGCTTTGTAAGCAAGAACCATTGCCTAATTCAGATCTGGACAATCAAGATTTTTGGCCTTTTCTCAGTAAATTCCTTCTCCCAGTATCAACAAAACACTTCAACAGAAAAGTTTTTTTTTAAATGGATACAACTTTCAGAGAATAATTTCTCAACTCACATTTTAGTTTACTTCATTACGAGTTAGAATCCTGATTTCCCTTAATTCCTCTGTTCAATACTTACACTTGTGTGTAGTTTCTCATTTTAATTTTTTTTTGCTCCTCACAGAATCAGCAAGAAATTCTATTCCTAATGAATAAATAGACTGAATATTCGAAAAGAAATATCAAGCCAACTTACAAATATATGCAAACAAAATTTTATGCACAAGAAGTAATTATTTTCAAATAATCTTCGCAGAAAACTCATAAGGTAAGCGAAATAAAAACAGAAATTACTGGAAAAGTTCAGCAGGTCTGGCAGCATCTGTGGAGAGAAATCAGAGGCCAGTGACTCTTCCTATGGACAAAGAATTGTACTGCAAAAGTTGGTGGAATTCCAGAGGAAACAAGGATGACATTTTGATTGCTTTTACCCAAGAATGTGTAGGAAGAAACAGCAAACACTCTGACCATATTATTTCTAACAGCCTGGGATACAGAAGTCATGGGTCTGGACCCTTCTTCAGAAAATTTTTTTTTTGTTTCTGAAGAAAGGTCCAGACCCAAAATGTCAGCTTTCCTGCTCCTCTGATCCTGCCTAGCCTGCTGCATTCATCCAGCTCCACACCTGGTTATCTCAGACTCCAGCATCGGCAATTCCTACTGTCTCTACAGAAGTTATGCCAGGAGGACTGGAGAGATATCACTTCCATCTAGGAAGGACTCTTGGCTGTAGAACAGCAGGAAGGGAGTAAGGGTAAAATGGGTACCTACAGACATGACAGTTTGACACCTGTGTGTGAAGTTCTAGATGCTATTTCATTGACAAAACTTCATTAAATTCTCTCAGTGCACGTTAAGAATAATTTCTAGCAACTTATAAAACTGGTTGTTTCTGACAAATTGAATAGTGTCATTTGAGAAAACAAGACTGTGCTTTGCTAAAGAAGATGCATTAAACGTTGTGCCCAAGGGGTTTCAAAGGTCTTTTGATAAGATGAAAGAGGATTAATGCAAAAAAGCTTGACATAACACTTCATGGGAGAAAGAATAAACTAGAGGTAATATCCACTAAATGGTAAAACTTTAAAAGATTCACTTCAATTTGTGCAAAGAGCTTGAAAAATAGGACAGCAAAATCTGTAAAAAAAAATTGATTTCAAATTGAATTAAGCACAAAAAAGTGCTATGTTAAACCCACATAAATTACATTTGTTGCGTTAAATTTTGAACAATATAATTTATAAAATTTATATAATTATAAAATTTGTAAAAGCATGGAGATGCAGTAAGGCGATATGGAGGATAAGAGGCTTTAAATCTGAGACAAACGGGGCCTTTTTAATAAGAACTAAATCGGTGGTGAGAAAAATTAACAGGGATGCTCAAAATTGAGAGATCTTAATATTATAAATCAAGAAAAAATTAATTTTGGGGATCATTACCTAGTGACCACAGGATAAAATAAAAGATGACATTACAATTACTGTTTGTTTCAAATCAGAGGTTTGTTAACACATGGCAACTATTGAAACCGTGGTGTAAGTTGAATCCTGGATAGATTTTAAGAAAGAAGTGAACAAATATATTTAGAAATGTTTTTTTTAAAAAGAGTATGGAACTAAGTGAATAGATGAGCTAGTGTCGGCACAGCTAAATGATTTTCTTCTGTCTTCTTGAAAAATTCTGTGATTCCACATCAAATTTAAAATAATGCAGAAAATGTTATCAATGACATATGTAAAACATCTGACAATGACATCTGGCACACCATGAGAATAAACCATGTAGAAATCTTAGCTTACGCCTGGTGTCTGTAGCACAGCAGATAGAAACAGCACACGCAACCAAATATATTAGCAGAGATATTACATCAATAAACATTCAAAATAGTGAACAGTTCTTTGCCTTATTCTTATTTCACACAGAAATTCTAAAATATATTTAAAACAAAATCTAGTATGAAATCTAATATTTCAATGCAAGTGGCCTTTGACAAGATAGCAGTATATTAAAAACTTACACGAGCAGTAAACAGCTTATTGTTGGATGTAAATGACTCTCTAAAGACTTTTAAAATCAGGTTCAATTCCCGTAGGTATTGCCTTTCCTCTGCAATTTCAGCTTTCACCAAGTCATAGTAGTGCTGTTCACCTGTGGAATTTAGTCCATCATCTCCCAATGAAGACAGACCAATGTCATCCTGGTCAAACATGTCCATAAGAACCTGAAAAGAAAATGGAACCCAGCACAGTGTTGTATAATTATGTTTAAAAAAAGTTAAAAATATGACAAAATAATTAAACATACACCCAAAGAATTAGATATTTACAGAATATTTGCAGCAAATAAATTAAAACACCAGAATATTGGGACTGTGTGTTCAGGAATTACATAGGCACTCTAGAAAAAAAGACTGAAAGATAGCAAACTGATATACAAAGTCATAACTCTAGAAACTACAGTAAAGAATGCTAGATATTAGTTGTGGGGGAAATGCAGACAATGTAATTCTTAAGTACATATGGATAGATTATTTAAAACCATCGAGGGATAAAAGGATAGTGTAAGAAAATGGTTGAGTTCAATCAGCCCATGATCTCAGTGAACGACAGAGTGTGTTCAGAGGGGTGAATGATCTATCCCTTCTTCAATTCATATGTAATAGTCAGGTTTGGATTCATAGCTAATATGCTATATCTGCTAACCTACTAGAACTCTGACAAGTTTAACACTTGACATTTCAAGTTAACCAAAAAATAAAATGTATATGGAGAAAGCATTTGAGAAAACTCTAGTAGTGAGGTTGTAAAAGAAGGCCAAGATATAAATAGATTTAATGGCTAGATAACAAATTAAAAAGATGAGGATGACAAATAGTGAAGACTGGTGTGCTAAACAGTGGATGATAATAGTAGTTCTGGCTTATGAGATGACATAACAGGATCTCTGTAGCATATTTATAAAAGATAGAAGTGTGCCTTGATCTCAATGCAATAGATGCAAAACAAGCAGCAGCAATGTATTTGATTCTGAGGAGGTAGACAGAAAAGTTAATAGAAACAATGATCAAAGGAACATTAATAATATGAAGATCGACAATAAAGAGATTGGAGGCTAGAGTTGAGAAAAAAAGTCACCTATCAGACAGTAAACTGTTCCATGCATCCTGCTAGGAATACAAGAAGCTCTGCAAAAATGATTCCTCCTCAGTAGCTCTGTTATTATTATCCAGTGAGCAACTATGTCATAAAGATCACAATGTACCATGAAAGGCAATTGGAAACAAGATGGGCAAATGGGACTTCAGCTGTTTGACCGTATTTTAATAGTAAATATAAGCATGGAATGGTTGGATCAAGTGGTAACAAAAAAAAAATCTTTATTTTTTTGATCAGCTGTGTATTTAAGGCAGCCAAATGAACTGTTCCTACAGCAATACAAGCAAAATGGGAAAACAAAATTATTCCCTATAAAAACAGTATCAAATACCTTATCTACATAGTCATCAGCAGCCTTCATGAATGTTTGTCTTATTATTTGTACATGAATGGATTTAAGGAGTTGGGACTGTTCTCCTTGGAGACAAGAAGGTTAAGACAATATGATAGAGGGTTGAAAATCATGAGTAGGTTGGATAAAACAGATTGGGAGAAAGTGTTACCACATGCACAAGAGCAACAGAACACCGATTTCAAGTGATTTGTAAAAGAGCCAAGGGTAATCTGAGAAAAACAAAATCACTGAGTAGGTTATGGAACACACTGCCTGGAAGTGTGGTGCAGGCAGATTCAATTCAGGGATTCAAGAGGTTAGTAAGGTAAAAAATAACATGAAAGGAAACAGGGAAAAAGCAGAAGATTGGCACTAGGTAATAATGCACATTTGAAGAGCTGGTACAGACATGATGGGTTGAATGGCCTCTTTCTGCTTCGTAAGATGTGTATGATTCTATGACATAATTTTCATTTTATAACACATTGCTTAGAACTCAAAAATTAATGTTATTTGAATAACTCAAAAATTTCTAAACTATACAGAGTTCTAATGATTTTCCCAGGCACATTACTTTCAGGAGAAAGTAATCTGTCCTTTTACTTTCTTTCTAATCTCACTTTTGGAAAACTTTCAACTCCTATTGTAGCAAATGGTATTGCTGCCAAGTGTCTAGGTAAGTACATAAACTCTGCAGAACACTGAGGCTACTCTATGCAGTAGTTTCACAGAATGGATGTGCATATGTAAATAGAAATCAATTATCTAAAGCAACAAAGCAGCTTTTTAAAACGTATGATTTGGCCAAATGCAATCAAAAAGGCGGTTTCAGTAGCTATATCAATTAAAATGTCCCTAATTGAATGGTTGAAGATTTTTAAGCATAATATCTATACTACTAGTTTATTCATGGGTCCTAGCCATATGCAGCTTTCAGTATCAACAACTTAAAGACAGAATAAAATTTTCAGTTAATAAAACTAGATATGTCATACTAATTGTAACATATTTACAGATAACAAAACTTTTTAAAATACGCCAGCGTATTTAATCACCTAAGAATCTTTATTGATCTTATTGAAAATGAAAAGGAATTGACTCTAAAAATATTGAGAAAAAATGTTACAACTTTCAGAATTCGGATAGCAAATTAATGCTCACCTTATCTGCACACATTGACACTTTAATGTCCTGTTGTGAAATTTCATAGTGTCGAATATTGCCTACATAGTTTCCAGCTAGTTTCAAAATGTCAGCTGAAATGTATTCCAGCACAGCCACGATGTAAAGAGAAACATGATAATCTGCTTTATAACCTAGCACATCCTGTAAATGAAGGACATTAGAGAAAATGTAAACAAAGCAAAATATCGATTAGCTGAAAATTGATTTAAAAATGTGACAGTCATTAAAACTCAAGAAAATAAGGAAGTGTCTAACAAAAGACAATGAGCAGAATCTTCCCAGGTATTGAATGAAGTGGGAACTGGCAAGAAAGTTGGAAGATCAACAATAAAGGAGTTTCCTGCCATTGTGTGCAAAATGTACCGTTTTCCAATCAAGTGTTGAACAGTAAGTCAAGATACTTACTAGTGAATAGTGAGATGCCTATTAGACTGCGTTAACATCCTCATACCACATCTTGCCTCACTGCTTTGCAGTTTCCTGATCTTCCACCTGCCACAAAGATTCTAAACATCGGTAAGTCCCAACATGAAAGTCAACAGCAGTGACCTGGTGACTCCAGCTCCCTGCTTGCTCCACCAGCCCTCCATCAGTTACCAACATCTCAGAACAAACTCCAAGGCAATGGCTGCACACATCCGCTGTCCAACAGGAGCTCCAGGTCCCCACAGGCAAAGCAGGATACCAAGTACCCCCTGTTTAACATGTCCAAGAGAACTAAAAGAAAATACGCAGGGTAGCTGTGGATTGACCTGGTGCACACACAGTTTTAAAGATGATGTCAGAGCCTAGAATCTCGCAATGGCTAATACCTCCACACATGGTGAGTAGGAGAATACAATGAACTGGATGCCATAAGGTCGCAGTGAATAGAACAAGATCATTTTGGGAATAATATGAAGGGCTTTAGAGTCGAGAAAAAGGTTTATAAGCATTTATGATACAGTCACAACTAAAGCAATGAATTTAAGTCTGTGCAGTCACATATTCACTGCTATAATTGTGCCTTTATCATAAATGCCTTAGTATGCACACGCCTTAAAAAAAGTCATTTTTAGAATAATTAAATCACTGACAATTCTGACTCTTATTGCCTGTCTCTACTGCATGCAAAGAATTGTGAGATTTCTGTGATGCTTAACCGTCCTCTTTTACACTGAAAGAAAGCTTCCTTGACACTGTCCCCATCAAAACTCCTAGGACAAATTCAGTACAGGTTTACATATAGAGTAAAGCTCCCTCAACACTTTTTAACTAAAAGTAAAGCTACCTCTACAATGTCCCCACAAAATAATTCCAAGACAGAGACAGCACAAGGTTAGATACAGAGTAAAGGTCCATAACAATTTTTCTTAAATGCAGTACTAGGACATCATAAGATCTTATGTCACTGGAGCCAAGCAGTGCATTCGGAGTCCGCTCCACCATTCAATTAGATCGTGGCTGATCTGATGATCCTCAATTTCACCTTCCTGCCTTTTTCCATAACCTTTACTGATTAAAGATCAGTCCATCTCAACCTTGAATATACTTAACCACTTAGCCTCAACAGCCCTCTCTGGAAAACAATTCCCACAGATCTACCACCCTCAGAGATGGAATTCCTCCTCATCTCCATTTTAAATGAGTAACCCCTTCTCTAAGATTATGCTCTCCGGTTCTAGATTCTCTCACAAGGGGATCAACTGCTCAGCATCTACTCTATCAAGTCCCTTAAGAATCTTATATGCTTCAATAAGGTCATCTCTCATTGTTCTAAATTCCAAAGAGTCCAGGCTCTACACAATCTGTCTTCATAAGACAATCCCTCCATACAAGGATCAACCTAGTGAAACCTTCTCTTGAACTACTTCCAATGCAATGTATACCTTTCCTTAGATAAAAGAAACAAAGCTGTTCATAATATTTAAAATGTGGTCCAACTGGTGCCTCATATAGTTCAAGGAAGGCTTCCCTGCTTTTATACACTATTCCCTTTGTAATGACGGCCATCCATTTGCCTTCACTATTACATGCTGAACTGGTTTGCTAGATTCTCATCATTTGTGCACAGGGACTCCCAGATCCCTCCATGCTGCAGTTTTCTGCAATCCTTCTCCATTTAAATAATGATCAGCTCCTCTATGCTTGGCCAATGCGCATAATTTCATGTTTTTCCCACATTATATTCTGTCTGCCAAGTTTTTCTCCCCCCACTCATCCAACCTGTCTGTATCCCTCTGTCATCCCCTCCACACCAGGGAGAGATAAATTCTACCTTTGTCACATTCAAATCCACCTATTTACATTTACATATACTTTCCAAGGAGTGAAACAATATTGGATTATGGGATTTAATTCATGTCTGGCAAGATTAAAGTAATTTCCACTTGATCAAGCATTGCATTGCCCCAGAAATATTCCTAAATGTAATGTGCAAACCATAGTAAATGTTTAAGCAATACTCTAAAGCACAATTAATTCTCAATTGTATAAACATAGGTTAAAAACAAACTTGCACCTTTAATAAAGGATGTATTTTATCCACTGGTAAAAGAAGAGGATTCCTCCTTCTACGTTTCTCAATAGCAGACTGTGCATCAGCAATAGCCCATTTGTCAATTGGGTGTGGGAAAGATTTCTGAACACGTTCCTAAGAGGAAAATGAAAATAAATGCACAATCTTGAAGAACATATGAAAAATGTCAATTTAAACAGTAATCACAAAACAAGCTCTCCTATTAAGAATCACCTTTAAAAATTTTCACCAATGCTTACACTGTTGCATTAAATTCCAATATTTCTATATCAAAAATTGGTAAAATGTCCATATTCTTGACAACCAGATTACATATCACTAATTTAGGAATGCTACTTTGATAAGTATAAACAAATTATAGCATTAAGTTTTAATACACGTCATTTATATTTTATAGAAGTCCATCAGCTAAACTAACCATGAAATTCCACTTAACCGTACCTCAACTTACCAGAATTTTGGTAGAATGACCTGCTTGCAATGTCTCCTTTTTATTCCGTTTTATCTCATGGGTTGCTACTCATCAATGTAAATAAATCTTCATCCCAGGGAAAAACTAAATGCGTGTGCATTCTATTTGTCTTTATTCCTTTGCTTAATATATTGCATTGTAATTGAGCAAAATTTCATGAACTTATATTTCCATCCGTTATGGCAATAAATATAGGTGGCAACTAAGATTAAATTAATTCTGTCTCTTAATACTTTTATAAAATCATTAATTAGTTAACATACTCACATCACATGTAAAATTGACTTTGGAAGTATTCGTGATGCTGAACTGAATAACAAATCATTCGGGCACAGGGACTCTCAACCTTTCTGATTCTGAGACCCCATTCTCAAGTTATCGGATCCTATTTCCATCCTCAATTCAGGAACCATGAATTGGCACTGGGCCATAGTCCCAATCATATACATGGTTGGTATACTCTCAAGCTCTCAGCCCTCACCACCCCCCCTTACTCTTGCTATATCCTCTTCATACCCAAACCCACTTCATACAACCACTTCACTTCCAAACCACACCCCATGCCTCTTCCAAATCACTTACATTACATTCCATATGTCTTCAACCTCACAATGGTACACAATTAAACTCTGTTCTGTTAAGAGTTAAATATTAGTGGATTTTATGGTCTCATTTTTGTAGCAGACTGGACACGATTGGTAATGACAAGTACCATTTTTCTGTAGCCCCTACTCATAAGATGAGGTTTCTAAAAATGGCATTTTATAAAATGTTGACCTGGAGTACCCTTGAAATCATTTTTTATTCATTCACAGGATGAGGTGTCACTGGTTAGGCCAGCATTTCTTGTCTGTCTCTAATTGCCCAGAAGGCAGTTTAGAGTCAACCACATTGTTGTGGATCTGAACTCACATGTAGGCTAGACCAGGTAAGGATGGCAGTTTTTCTCCCTGAAGGACATTAGTGAACCAGAAGAGTTTTTGCAACAATTAGTAATGGATTCACAGTCATCATTAGGCTCTTAATTCCATATTTTTATTGAATACAAATTCCACCATCCCTGTGACAGGATTCAAAACCAGGCCCCCACTTTTATGAAAATCATATGTATTCATGGAAGATAATGACCTGATTTACAATCCTATTTAGAGCATCGTGGCCATCAAGGTAATGTTTCCCATGCTGATGTACCACTTTGCAGGAGATGTAAGCACAGTAGGCTTAAGATAATGTGGTGACTAGTACGGAGGTTATTTCAACTCAAGAGTGTCTGCATCTGGAATTCCTGCCTCACCTCCCACCTCCTTGACCTTCTCATCATGATTCTTTGCCAAGAAGTCAAAGGCAGGAAGCCTATATCATGACTGACTGAAATTAATTAGCACAGCACAGAATATGCATTGAACCAATAGTTCCTTTCTTCAAAGGGCGGCATATTTATCAAGCCAACCTTCAGGAAGCTGTCTTTATGTTCTTTGTTTTGCTGTGGGCTCAAAGCTGCAAATAAGAGCTCCTGCTCTCCTACCCAGTTGAGGTCTAAATTAATCCTTCTGTTACAGTCTTGAGGTTTTAAGTAATTGAAGTCTCAGCTTACTTTTTTTTGTTTTCAGTTCTTCTTTCAACTAGTCCTCAGTATCCCAGGACACTGTGAGAAGTTAGGGACGAAATTACAGGAATATTTGTATCATCTATAACTACAGGTGATATGCCAGAGGACTGGAGGATGGCTAATGTTCTGCCATTATTTAAGGAAGGCTGTAGGGAGAAGCCTGGAAACTATAGACCTGTGAGCCTGACATCGCTGGTGGGTAAGTTGTTGGAGGTGATTCTGAAAGATAGGATTTACATGCATTTGGAGAAGCAAGGACTGATTAGGGATAGTCAGCATGGTTTTGTGTGAGGGAAATCATGTTCAAACTTGATTGAGTTTTTTAATGAAATAACCAAAAAGATTGATGAAGGCAGAGTAGCAGACATCGTCTACATGGACTTTAAGTATAGCCTTTGGTAGACTAATTAATAAAGTTAGATCACATGGTGAGCTTGCCAATTGGATACAAAATTGGCTTGCTGGTAGGAAACACAAGGTGGTGGTGGAGGGTTGTGTATTGGACTAAAGGCCTGTGACCAGCCATGTTCCAGCACTGGGCTCATTTTTGTTTGTCATTTAGAGAACAATTTGGATGAGAATATAGGAAGCACATTTAGTAAGTTTGCAGATGACACTAAAATTGGTGGTATAGTGGACTGTAAAGATTATCTAAGATTACAACGAGATATTTATCAATTGGGTCAACGGGCTGACAAATGGCAGATGGATTTTAATTTGGATAAATGTGAGGTATTGTATTTTGATAAAACAAACAAGGGCAGGACTTATACAATTATTGGTAGGGCCCTGGGTAGTGTTGTAGAACAGAGAGATCTAGGGGTTCAGTTACATAATTCTTTGAAATTTACGTCAAAGGTAGATAGGGTGGTTCAGAAGGTGTTTAGTGCACTTGCGTTCATTGCTCATATCAGAGAGTTTGGAAGTTGGGAGGGTCATGTTGATATTGTACAGAACATTCATGAGGCCTCTTCTGGAGTACTGTAAGAGGTTCTGGTCACCCTGCTATAGGAAGGATATTATTAAACTGGAGATGTTGCTGGGATTAGAGGGCTGGAGATATGGAGAGAGGCTGGATAGGCTGGGATTTTTTTTCACTGGAGTGTAGGAAGTTGAGGGGTGACCTTATTGAGGTTTAGAAATCATGAGGAACACAGTTAAAGTGAAGAGCAAGGGTCTTTTCCATACTCAGTGTTTAAAACTAGGAGGCATATTTTTAAGGTGAGATGAGTAAGTTTTGAAAAGGACAGGAGGGCAACTTTTTTTAAGACGGAGTGATTCATGTGTGGAATAAACTACAAGAGGAAGTGGTGGATGTAGGTACAGTTACAACATTTAAGCGAATAGGAAAGGTTTGGAGGAATATGGACCAAATGCAGGTAAGTGGGAGTAGTTTAGGTTGGGAACTGGTCAGCGTGGACTGGGTGGACCGAAGGATCTGTTTCCATGCTTTATGACTTTATAACTTTATAATTATATATTCCTCCACAAATTTTAATCTCATCTCCTAAAAAAGAACAAAATTATTTCAACAATTCTTAAAATACTGCTTTTTTTGCCTCTTCAATGAGATTCTGTGCAGAAGAAAATAAATTATTAAATAAACAAATTTTCGAAGGTAATATAAATTGGAAGCTTCTAAACGTTTTTAATCAAACAAACTAATTTTTTTAAAGTATGTTAGAAATTTTTAGATTTAAAAATTGAAAGAAAATATATTTTCAGACTCTTAAATTAGTTCAGTTTAGTTGTATCTTAAGGTATCTACCATTGGAATTCATATTACACTTACTTTAAACTAAACTAGAATGAAATTTGCCTCAACATCTTGTACCAAAGTGAAACTGGAGAATGCACTTCAGTTCAGACTAACACAATGCAGTCCACTGAGAATTTAGTTTGACAGAGTAAGTATACTATTAGCCTCTAACAGATGTAAAGAATCAGATATGAGGATCAATTAGCACAGTACTTGAGTACTTCGTTTCTGGAGGTGCAAGGTGGGCAGATCTAGTTTCAATCAAGATCAAATGTTGCAATCCACTTATTATAAGGACAGATGACAAGCATCATCATCCATTCCCACACTGCACTTGATTCATTCTTTGTCAGTTATTAAGTTTTCTAATAGGGGGTCCACAATTTAACAACTAAAATAATTCAGTTGGTTTATACAAGACATTGCAGTGGATCACATCTGGGCATCACTCTTTAGCAAAGACTAGGAACAATAATCAAACAGTTTTCTACTGAAATGTTAGGTTGGAATCATTTGTTCCAGTGCTCTTCATAAATAAAAAGGTAAAGTCGCCATGGTCCCAAAGAATCATAGGGCTACCACCAGATGACTGGTGGTGAGTTTAACCTGAGGGTCACCATACCTCAGGCAAGGGGTAAGAGTGAGAAGACAGGACCTTCATAGTAAACTCAGCTGATGAGGGTCACTCTGCATCATAAACCAGCTGTCCAGCCAATTGAGCTAAGTGACCTCCAATATTCTCACCAAGTTAACAGTTTGTTATTGAAACACTACAAGCATAAAAGCCACTTGAGAAAGAATACATTTCACATGGGAAATCACATTTGACCAGAACTTAAAATCAATCTAGCCAGTGTGCATGTTTCATTATAATAAGGGCAATTATTTTGTTGTGCACATTAATTTTATAACCTAGCAAAAACCAATTTGCCCTTTTATTTTGACAAGTTAATCAAGTTAAATCAATCATGAACATAAACTCAAAATTGTGCAGAAATAATATTATGATGCAATTCATTTCTAATATGTAAAAATATAAGACACCATCATTCTTACCTCTACATCTTGAACAGTCCGCGGTTGTGCAACACAGAGCATATTTAATAACTGAAGAATCAACTCTTCTATGTAAAAGAGGGCATCTTCTTTTGCTGAGAGGGTTGGATGTACCTGCCTTTGAACCTGCATCAAGAAATAAGACTGTAAATACCTTCTCAGGAAAACATATATTTTGAATAAAGATTTTAATTATCAACCTCCGTTGGCTCACATCTTTGGAACCCTAGCCACTTGTTTACCTATGGGTAAAACCCAGAATTTCCAACTTGCTTTCATCATAGCAAATTCCATATTTCTCACGCTAGTGGGATATCGTTAAGTCTGTCCCCCAAGAAGGGAAACACTGCCAAGTATAGTTTCCCCATATTAGCCCAAATTTTAAGCTCAAAACAAACGAACTAAAGGAAACAATCTATGTCAGAGAGCATCTGTCAGCACTACGTTCACTGAAGCTCCTCAGGTAAACAAAATAAATGTCAAAAATCGACAAGTTCAAAGCAGACAATTTGCAAATAAAACAAAAATGATACACTTCAGGAAAAAAAAAGCAGAATTTGTAAGCTACAAAGCAAAAGACAGAGCGGAAAAGCTTTTAACTGACCTTTCCCTTTACTTGTCCACATGTAAAGGAAGCTAACTTGGAAACATAGAATCTTAGATCACAACAAATGAGATCTAAAACACAGGACCAAACACTTTCCATAAACCTCAATACCATAACTTCATTCAATTAACTAACTTATCTGCTACTAATTATGATTTTGAGGTTATAACATTATTAGGTCACGAAAGTACTGCCCATTTCTTCCCGAAGCTGGATTTAACAAAGAAGGATGAATTCCTCAATACCGTATGTATTTTCTGATGGGAAGTTCAGAGATTAGCTAATTCAATAAACAAATTAGTTTATATGAGACATGGCAATGATCAAATTTAGTCATAACTTTTCAACAGAGACTGGATATAATAGCCAAGTATGAAGATAAATGGTTAAGGATTTGTTCAGTGCTCTTGATAAATACTCATGTCAGAGCAACAGCCCTGGTGTCCTTAAATGCCACAGGAGGCTGATATCAAAGGCTAAGGGAGATTGCAAGATCAGAACTGAAGGCTAGATGTGATTTATTGACACAGATGGCAATTTTAAATTTTATTTATTGGGTGATGGGGAGCCACCTTGGGAAAAAAGACAGAGGAGTTTTGATAGAGGTATTCAAAATGATGTATGGTCTGGACATAGAAGATAGGAGGAAAGTTTTCTGTTCATGGAAAGAATAAAGGGGCATGGACTTAAGATAATTGGAGAAAGAAGAAAAACTGATTGTGAGAAAATGTTGTTTTCTACTGTTGTTTAAGATCTAGAATGCACTCTTGAGAGTGTGATGGAGGCAGGTTCAACAGAGGCATTCAAAAGAGAATTAGACTTAAAAAGGTGCAAGATGGAGGGTCATGGGGCAAATGTGGGAGATTTGCACCAAGTGAATCATTCTGGAAAGCCAGTGCAGAGATGATGAGCCAAATACCTCCCTGAAATATTAATAATCCTGTAATTCTGAGCCTAAGTGGATGTGTATTACAATTTCAGGAGAAGTTCATATTGGAATTCCAAGGACAATTGCAGTGATCTTAATTTTAAACAGTTATTAGAACAGGCAGATACATATTTTGCCAGGTCCAACTGATCTAGAGTGACTCTAAGATCAGTTCAAAATTGAAGATCCTAGTATTATGTACAAAGCCAATGCAGAAAACAGGCAGCTTTATTTCATCAGGGACAGGGTGGCTTTATCGTGGAGACCCAAAACAGCAATTTTGTGTGATGCAACAAAATTAAGGCATATTGGTGAATAGAAAGCATTAAGTATATTTTTAAACTGACATTAGGAAATTATCTTAACAGAATTTTATTTTATTTTCATGGGATGTGTGCATCGCTAGTTAGGCCAGCATTTATTGCCCATTCCTAAGTGCACTGGAGAAGGTAGTCATGAGCTGTTTTCTTGACCCATTGCAGTCTTTAGGGTCTAGGGAAATCATCATCACTGTTTGGAAGAGAGTTCCAGGAGTTTTGACCTAATGACTATAATGCTGATCTTATAACCGTATTGGAACAGCTTGGCTAAGGTGCACTGATGGTCCTACAGCGTGCCTTTAGTACTATTGCCAGAATACTGTCAGGATCCATTACCTTTTGCAGAATCCACTGTATTCAGCCATTACTTAATATCACATGGAATCAAGTTGGTTGAAGACTGGCACCTGAGATACCAGGGACCTCAGGATGTTTCAGGTCGGGACCCTTCTTCAGAAATCTGAAGAAGGGTCCCAACCCGAAATGTCAGCTTTCCTGCTCCTCTGATGCTGCCTGGCCTGCTGTGTTCCTCCAGCTCCACACTGCGTTGTCCCCAAAACATCACCCTTGGGTTCTACATTATTCAGCCAGTCACAGTACCACAAAGTCACTGCATCCCCTTCAATTAAACTTTTCCTTGTTCTTTAAGGATGATTAACACACTTTTACAAAGCAGGATCCTGCACCACAGGAACAGAACTCATAAATTACTAACACAGCCGTAACTATCAGCAATTGTTATTATACATACACAGCAGCAAGTGGAAATTAGAGGAACATCTTGCACACCCAATACCACCACACCCCCACAACAGTAATATTAGGGAAAATATAACCATTTTCAATTGGCCCAAAACCAATAGCATACAGCACTTGAAGATGTAATTGGAAGCATTTAAATAAGTTTGCAACCTGATACTTACAACAGGGGATGGAAAAGCAATGAGTAATTGCAAATATGTGTGTAAATAGCTCTCTTTAGTTTATGGCTAGGGGTATGAAGCACTTTATTGAATCTACTTCTCTTAGACATGGTAGAAGGAAGAATATATTTATTATATATCTGGAGATTATGTATCCTGTTACTTGGTTAGGTACTTAGGTGGCACTGAGGTGTACAAGAAAGAAACACAGAACTTGAGTATTGCTGAAGAGAAAGACATACCTGACAAAGTTTTTCCTCTTTTACTCACGAGATAACCACGTTATAAAGGGAAATAACACTTTAAAGAAAATATAGTTGGCTCACTTTTCCCTCACCCATATGGTGAGAGAAACATAATGCAGGGTGAATGGCAGCATCCTGGACTTGTTAAAGTCTGTGTAAAATGGAGGTTGTAAAGTAAGCCAAAAAATGATTGAGGTGGTGAGTTTGGAAATTTAAAGTAACGGAGTAAAACAAAAACACAGACAGATGATACTGGAGATAGAGTATCTCAAATCACTGATTGAGAATAACTCCGGATTAAAACAATGTCTAGCTTCCACAGAGTCAGAATTACCCTGAGCAAGCAGTCATGCAGGTCATCTATAATTATGAGCAGGTTACTAAACAAAAATAAATCAACAGCAATGACCTGAGTTTCCTAAAACAGTGTGCAACAACAGCACACCGTGGAAAACATTAAGGAAATTAGGGGGCAGGAATTAATCACAGAGTTGTATTTTGATAAGTTTACTTGATCTCTTACAACATTTCAACCAAATGTCTACTAAAACAGATCACTACTCATTGTCACAGACTACCATCTCATGCAAAATTGCAGCTCATGCAAATTTCTTTATTCTATGCCAGTTCTTAAGATGCTGCAAATTTATGCTTAGAATATTAGGCACATCAGGAATCAGTCCATATTGCTGGAGATTTTCCAACAATGTTTTTATTTCCCCGAGACCTAAGATATATCGTCATAGATCATAGAACCCCTACAGGTGGAAACAGGCCCTTCGGCCCAATAAGTCCACACCGACCCTCAGAGCATCCCACCCAGACCCATCCCCCTATAACCCACCTACTCTACACATCCCTGAACACTACAGGCAATTTAGCATGGCCAATCCACCTACCTTGCATATCTTTGGACTGTGGGAGGAAACCAGAGCACCCAGAGGAAATCCATGCAGACATGGGGAGAATGTGCAAACTCCACACAGACCGTCGCCCAAGGCTGGAATCAAACCCAGGTCCCTGGCACTGTGAGGCAGCCATGCTAACCACTGAGCCACTGTGCTGCCCCTTGCAAACTCCACACAGTCGCCCAAGGCTGGAATCAAACCCAGGTCCCAGGCGCCGTGCGGCAGCCGTGCTAACCACTGAGTCATTCTGTACCTTATTTGCATAATAAACTGAACAACTCTGTGTGACCGCTTTGCAGAACACCTACGCTCGGTTCGCACTAAACAACTGCACCTCCCAGTCACGAACCATTTCAACTTCCCGCTCCCATTCCTCAGACGACATGTCCATCCTGGGCCTCCTGCACTGCCACAACGATGCCACCCAAAGGTTGCAGGAACAGCAACTCATATTCCGCTTGGGAACCCTGCAGCCCAATGTTATCAATGTGGACTTCAGAAGCTTCAAAATCTCCCCTCCCCCTACCACATCCCAAAACCAGCCCAGCTCGTCCTGCCTCCCTAACCTGTCCTTCCTCCCACCTCAAGCCCCACGCCCATCTCCTACCTACTAATCTCATCCCGCCCCCTTGACCTGTCCGTCCTCCCTGGGCTGACCAATCTCCTCCCTACCTCCCCACCTACACTCACCTTTACTGGCTCCATCCCCGCCTCTTTGACCTGTCTGTCTCCTCTCCACCTATCTTCTCCTCTATCCATCTTCTATCCGCCTCCCCCTCTCTCCCTATTTATTTCAGAACCTCCTTCCCCTCCCCCATTTCTGAAGAAGGGTCTAGGCCTGAAACGTCAGCCTTCCTGCTCTTCTGATGCTGCTTGGCCTGCTGTGTTCATCCAGCTCTACACCTTGTTAACTCTGTGATTGTATTTATTTGAACATCGTACTCAAATTTCAATGCAATTGCCAACGAGAAGATGAGCTAAATTGGAGCTATTAAACTTGGTACCTTGAATATGACACCATTTCAGATAATTCTAAGTCAATGAGTCAAGGACATTGGTGGTGAGATAAAACAAAGTCTCACTGGTTTATATATGGAAACGTCCCCTTTGCTTCTCAATAACATTCACAGGCATCAGGCAGATGAAATGGAACATTACGGCAAACTGAAAGCATCCTGCATGAGGATAAAAAAGA